CTCGAACCTGCGACCTTGGCGTTATTAGCACCAAGCTCTAACCAACTGAGCTAATAGGCCACTTGTACCCTAGGGTTATCATTAATACAATTTATCATATTTTCAAACACACGAAACTGAACCATTGTAAATTGTTTTGAATCAAACTCGCGAGAAAGCGGTGGAAGAAGGGGAACTTACTCAGAATGACATACACCATGAAAGAAGATCACGAGGTACTTTTTCTGTTTTTCCCTTAACCCCTTTGACAAATTCTGTTAACTTTCATCTTTGAATTTTGAAAAGAAGGGAAAAAAAAAAAATCTATTTGGTGGCATCACCCTTCTCCTTTATTATTATTGTTTTTAGTTGTTAATTGTTTCTGCATCGTCACGGTTATATTTCTGATTATTGGAATCTGCTTGGAACGTGTTTCGAAATAAATGGGTCAGATTCTGTTGATTTATCGTCACAAGTTGTAATTTTTCGTCTCTTTCTCACAGATAACTAAGAGAGAACTTTGTTACTTTGCTTTGTTAAATTAGGTTTATGCATTTTAGTGACAGGGTATCATTAACTAATCATGTTATTTTTTTGTCTTGGTAAATCCCACTGACTAGAAAACCCTGAAGTATCGTAGAGCTTACATCCAAAACATCATAATGTGCCTATGAGGGTTTTGATTGAAATTCGTTGATATTATGGTTATGGGTTCAATTCAGGCTATTAGTATTGAAGATTAAGCTAGTCTTCTAAAATTTTGTTGTTCTTAGGCTAGTTTGATTTTCTTTGCAATTTTCTTTGATTTCATTCAAATTGTAATAGCTTGGAAGGAGTATTAAGAAGCTGGTCAGGTATATCTACATCCGTATAGTTTACTCTTGTACTTAATATTTGCTTGTTTGGAACAATTATGATTTTTTATTTGTAATTGTTATAATGATATTTGTACTTTAAATCATGTATTAAAATTTAAATTAAATATCTATTTTTTTGTTTCAAATTTTTAAAATATATTAATTTTTTAATTGCACAAATACACTTGATCCAATTGTAGTTAAGCTGGATTGCTTAAAAAAAAAATTAATCCAACTCGATTCAGTTAAGTTTAATTGGGTTGGTTACTAAAACATTCCAAAATCTAACTTGACCAACCCATTTACACCTTAAAAAAAAGGTTTATGGAAAAAAGGATAAATGACCCCTCATAGTGTATATCAACACAATTGCAAATTATGTGCTATTTAAAAGTGGTTGTTTATTAATGAGATTTATGAATGTTTTTATTTCCATAAACACAAATATTAATTACTTGATTTCTTTATTTAAGGCTTAGCATAGTTGGTAGATAACTAATTTTTTTTTAAATATGTTGATAGAGTTTGATTATCTATGCATTAGAGAATACTTTATTTGGAAAAACAAAAGTCAATTTCATGATCTTTACACCTCAATAATATATTTGATTATTAGTTGGTGAATATTTTCAGTACAAATAAAAAAATTTATTTAATTTTTTAAAAAAATATTGATTACATTTTTAAAAAAATGTATTACCTTAAATGACAAATAATAAAAAAATACAGTGAACAACTATGGAATTAAATACAATTAAAAAATTTCTATCTTGATTTATTTTCTTTCACACTTCTTATTTATTTTTGGTTTTAGTTACAACACTTCTATCTTGATCAAATCGGGTCAAAGCTGGTTTCTGTCAAAAAACGGTGACTCGGTCATGCATTAGTCCAGTTTACAATGTTATTTTAATAATAAAAAAAATTAATCAGAAACTTTATTATACAGATGTAGGTGACAATGAATAATTTAAAACTTGATTCAATAATTAATTATTTAAATTTAATTCGTGAATTAAATGAGTTGAACTTAAATTAAAGATTGAATTTAATAAATAAATGAGTCGGATTTTAATTGCATATAATTTTGTTTTCTCGGTTCATGAATTAATTTAATTAATTTTTTATTTACTTTTAACTTATCAAAATTTGAAAGAATCTTCAAAATTTAGTTGTAAATTAACAACAACAATAATGATAAAGTGAACACTTTAGAGTTTCATGGTTATGGACACCGATGAATCTAGAAGTTTTAGATAATGAAGACAATACTTATTCATATATCTGTAGTATTAAAATTTTTATGCATAACTTTTAAAAGTATAAATATATATCATAATTATTTTTTACAAGCTTTTATATCTACGATTATAATTAAATATGATAATAAATTAGGTCAGACTATATTTTATTATAATTCAGTAAGTTTGAATCTAACTTTCTTTAAAAATATATATCCTAAGTATGACTTATTTATTTATCATAGACATTTTTTAAATGTTTGGTTAAAACTACAATCTTAAAGACCTACTTTATAATAATTTCACATTATTAAAAATATAAAAATAAATATGTTAAATTTTATAAAAATCAAGTTTAATTTATTTATGATATAAACATGTTTTTAATATCTAATATATATTTTTAGATGATAGTTTATTTTAAAATATATTTTATAATAACAATTCTAAATGGAATATAAATCTTCTGATTTTTCTTATTTTGATTTTTTTTAATTAATATATACAATTCTACTATTTTGATTTTTTTGTAACGACCCGCCTAACCGTCGCACAACAAACAACACCACACAGAATAGAGTATGCATATAAAAAGAAAATATATATACATAGGTCTAGCCTGAGACTCAACAAGTCAATATACAAATAACATCAACCTAGCTACACTAAGTAGCCAAAAATAACACAAATATCAACTCCATCTGCTAGTTGCAGTCCTGCTACTATACTCCAACATATCCTTGCTCTGCTTCCATACACAGTATGATCATTGCAGTCTAACTCACATGGAAACAGGCAAGGGTAAGCTAGTGAAAGAATTAGCATATAAATGATTATAAACAACTTCAACTCAATAGCACATCATCAATTTCAACAGAGTTAACATACAACACATAACAACATACATCTACATCTCAGCCTCACAACACACTACATCTTATCAACCTATGACTTTACTACTACTTAACAGATCTAACTACAGCTGTTAACATCTTATTCAATTATTTCATAACATCTTGAATGCTGATGATGTAGATCAACCTCACCAGTGAATCTCTTTTCTAGGGTTTTACACTTTTTGAAGTTAGTGGGGCTCCTTGTTAGAAGACCAGATGTGGCCATTTTTTGTCTGTTTTCTGATTGAGACTTGCATTGCTTTCTCCTTTCTATAAAGCTGTGGCTTTGATAATTCTATTGACATGTGAAGAAAACCTTGCACTCTTGTCCGCAACTACCCTAAATGACTCAAGAGACTTGTGTGAAACTGAGTGACTGTTTGATTGATTCTCATTCTTGTTTGCTGGATGATTTTACCTATTGTCTTAAGTGATTTTCTCAATATAAATCTATGTATATGAAGGCCAGATAGTGACTTACCTAGTCATTAACTGAACTTCATTGTGTGTTGATTTTTGTTTCCCATGCAAACCTATCTTTTTTGGCACATTGGGGTTTAATGGTGTAGTTTCACCATACTGCATACTCTATGGTAGTTAGTTTGGGTTTAAACTTTAAAGGAAAAAGAGAAATAGTGGGAGTAGTATAAATGAGTAAGTTAAGATGGAAGTGTGATCTCCAACATTATCAGTTGCAGATTGCGGAAAATGGCAGAAAGCCAATAATCTTCCACATCATATAGTGGATAGTGTCTCAGGAAAATAGTGGTTAGAATATGATATAGCGTGTGTGTGATATTAGCTCAAAAGTTCAATTTGTTGGAGACTCGAGCTCAAAAGTTCATTTTGTTGGAGAGTCAATAGAGATTACTAGAGGTTGTAGGTACATGCTATGAACATGATACCATAGCAGCCGCTATAGCGGATGGATCCATGATTGCGGACTAAATTTATTGGCCTAATTAATATTAATAATTAAATAGGCCAGGTCAGGCCTATAAAAAAATCCTATGATAGATAATATGTTAGACTTAGGCTTTAATTTTGCAGAACAGACTTAGCCTATATATTCAAAGCCTAACCTATCATGGCCTATTCCCATCCCTACGTGCAAAGAAGGCCTTTGGATACACTGATGAGGAAAATAGATCACATGGTTTTTAGCCATGTAAAAAAGGGTAATGAAAAACCAACAAGAACATTGAAGAAAATTATTAAATGGGATTTCATGGTAAATTATATCTCCTAGAATTTGGTCTTTAACCAAGTCAAATGGTGTCATGTGACCAAATCTCACCTTGTGGGATAAGTTTATGGTTGTTGTTGTTTGTGAGGTTTTTTGGTGTACAAACTAGAAACATCAATATTAAAAATATTTCTTTTAATTGTATTCTTTGATGACTATCATTAATTACAAGGCATTGTTTGATTTCACATTTTATTCAATATCTCTTGTTTGAACATTGACAACAACTACATCATCTGATATTCAAATTTTCCTGCAGTTTATTGGTTTTTAGAAAACAATATCCTGTTTCCTTCTTCACTTGGGGCTTTCAATCTGTTCAGTTACTGTAAATGCGGTTATGTATATATTTTTCAAATCATTTATGTTAAAGAGTGAATTTGGTTTTCAGACAGAAGTTAAAAAGCAAGCTGCTGCCGATGTATTGTTTCATTATTCAAACTTTGCGATGGTGTGCATTGGATGCAAGGTTCGACCATGCGATCTGAGGTTCCATTTGATGAAGGTATGAGAACAATTTTTAATCTTTTCTTGTTAAGAATAGTACCATTTGTTTTCTTATTTGTAATGTGATGATTGTGTGTGACAGCTAAAAGGATTTTGTCTTGAGAACTAGCATGTCCATATTTTCATTGATCCATTCCTTTTATGATCTTTGATGGGTATCATAACAATTTTCAGGAGATTTCGGGTATGCCCACTTCTCTAAATAGGGAATCACCACAGAATGCAGCATCTCCTGATGCAATGGGTGAGTCGTCAAGCACAGGAACAGCAAGACTTGACCGAGCAGACAGTTTTCGTGCACTATAGTTAAGGGTGGACTGTGACCATTCATAGTAGTTGTTCGTGTCTTCATAAAATCACTTTTCTAATCATTTATGCAATGGTATAGATGTAGGCAGAATTATGTTTCCAACTACCATCTATCCAATGGCTCACAGATTGGTATTTATTATACCACAGACAGTCATTTCATTTTACATTTGCTGTAGTGGATCAATTTTTTTTCATGAGTAAGTAAATGCTGCTTACAGTGATTGTCTCGAGTGAAGATTTGTGTGTGACCGTATAGGAAATAAATAGGTTTAATTACTTTTTTGGTCTCTATAGAACACATTTTTTTCCAAATCAGTCTCTGCCTTTAGATTTTTGTCGAACACCGTTTATGAATAGTCAATGACATAACTATGTAAATGTTGACCCAATCCGTTTGATTATTGACTGTGTTGGAAAAGAGTTGGTGATGTGACATAATATGACTTGATCAGCGAAGCGTGAGTGTCAGTGTTATGGTGGGGCGGGCCTGAGGCACAATAATGGTGTAGATAGTGTTGCAGTGGTTTTGAGGTGGTCTTGCAGATTTTTGGGATCGACTGGTTTACCTTGCTGGTATATGTGTTATAAGATAGGATATTGTTGCGTTTTTGGAACTTCTGTTTTGGTTTAACAAATTAAGTTCTAATTAAAGGGAATATTATGTGTTCTCCTTTACTGGTTTAGTGTATTTTTTTATGAAAATTGTGTATGCTGGTGTGGTTGTGGTGCGCTGTGCTGTCGTGGGGGTGAATTGGTATTGGTGTGTCTTGTTATGGTTGTGGTGTGTCTTTCATCAATTGCGGAGTCTGCCAGGGTAGCAGCCTAGTTGCACTGGTAACTGGTGTTGGTGCTATGTACTACAAATATGTGCTTAAAAAAGGATAATGCAATGACAATATACCTTCTTAATATATATGCTTGAAGCATCTATAGTTGCTAGTTACGTTACTGACTATTTTGTTTATGTTGACTATGTTCACGTATCAGACTTATGTTTCTTCTTGAACTAGTGGGGCGATCAGACTTATGTTTCTTCTTGAACTAGTGGGGCGATCGTGAAATTGTAAATAATAGTTGAATATGGTGGACATGCTTGAGTCTGGTATGAGTTTTATTCATTGTCAAACACATGTTCCTAATAAATAGTCTCTCGTATAGTCATATATTAATTAACTAGTCTTTCATATCTCATATTTCGTGCTTAATTGTCTTTACGACTTGGCAAATGTACATAGAACTGTTTCAAATCATGATTTTGTCACCGACATGAATGAGAGGGGCGTACGGTAAAAACAAACACCATGTGAAGTTATGGTGTGTTTGGATTATTATTTGCACATGTCTCGAACTATGAGAAAGAATGGATTGAAAATGAAAATAGGTAAAAGATGATTCTGCAGCTATTTGAGACACTTTTATCAAGTGTTTAAAAAAAAAAAGTAATGTTCTGACTTAAGAGCTTTGAAATACAACACATTGAATGAAAGTATGACAACTAAGACAAATTTCCTGATACGAAAAATTTGTTAGACATGGTGAAATTGAAGCTTCTTATATGCAGTTGTGAACAAACATTGTCATTGTCACCATATCTAGACACCAATTTTTTTGCTACTGTTATAATATATATATATATAT